TATTAACAACATACAACAATCTCTTAAGGTGATAAAAGTCAGAATAACAATAAATCTTTTGTATTGGGTTACTCTGGCTTTTAATAACCGTAAGAGACACTGAAGGAGATCTAAGAGCTTCTCACTCAGCCGGTACATTTATATCTACCAGAAACTGACATGAGATGTCACTATATTAATCGTAACATTCATTTTTATTATCATGATGACATTCATTTTATTTTTTGTGAAATTACTCCTAGTTTGTTATAATTAATACAAATATTCCTTCGACCTGACAGCACTGGAACCTGCGTCTTTGTCTAACCTAAGAGTCTACTCTCATGCTCCGTCCAACATTCGTCCGAAAGAATTAATGTCAAACAAGTAATACTCGACTAGTATCTTATAATTATTAATACAAAGATTGAACACTCATACCGTGTAGCTCTAGCATACCGTGCCAGACGCTATACCAACTAAGCCACGGAACGAACCAGCTTTCTGAATGTTTGATCTTTGTATTAATAATTATAACAAACTAGTGGAGTAATTTCTCATAAAAATTATTGAATATCAATTCAATAACAATTTAAGCAATACTCGACCCAATTAAAAAACAATGTCAAGTATGAAGCTTCGTTCTCAACATGCGACTTTTAAGGTTGAGTATTACTTATTTCACAGTAATTATATCGGACGAAGAATGCGAGTACAGGTTCTAACAACGTGTGCTTCGCCTCAGCAGTCTTCACGAATTTCTCTAAGTGTTTGTTACAGATATTTCGTGCTGGTTTGTTTTTCGGCTCCATTCTTGCCTAATTATTATAAACTTAATCTTCATTCAGGTAGCTATAGTCCGTTTTTAGTGAAGATGGAAAAATTTGACAATTCGTTGCGAAAAAGTGTTGCCCGTTCTCAAGTAGCTAGTGATTGCAGTCGATAAATATGAATGAATGAATGAATGAATTATCGACTGAATATTGGTTACGCTTACGCAATGATTGTCCGAACTTGTTAAATTTGAATCATCATCGGCCCATTATTCGTGCCACTGCTGGGCTACTATTGCTTTTATTTTTTTTATTATAAATTAACATTGAAAAACGTAAAAAACTGTATAATAAAAATATACGTCATCTTTACTTATGCTGGTAATTGGTATATGCGAGTCGTTATTATATTATTTATTATAGACAAAAGTAGCTACTAAAATTTAAACAAATAAATAAATTGCCGCACGGGCACAGCGGGCCGGCAGAATTTGCCGCATTCGACTACCACTCTTTGGCTTGTTCGGATGTGCTCACTTGCGCTCGCGCTTATTACGTTTCTTTTGTTAGTTCACGTTATTGTTTTCTGTTATCGTGTTAAGTTTTTGTTAAGTTTTTTTTGTTACTGTATTTGTTGCGTATTGCATCGCAATATGGACAACCCAGGACCATCCACTTCTTCGGGCATTTTATCGCCTCGAAAGAAAAGACAACGTATTGCTCTCAGTACTACTGAGAAGGTGATGACGGAGAATGTATATAAATACATTGTTCAGGAAGAAAACAAGGGTTGCGATCCAAATCTTTTAGAAGCTGCCAGTAAAACAGAATGTGCTAAAAAAACGGCTGACATTCTGGGCATTTCAAAATCAACTGTTTATACAGTTCTAAAAGAAAAATGCGAAAATATGAACTTTCAGCCCCCTAAGCCGAAAGGCAGGCGAAAAAGCTACATAGAAAAATTCGATGAATTCCATTTGGAGGCCATAAGACGCAAGGTTCATCAATTCTTTTTCCGAAACGAAGGTCCAACTATTGGCAAGGTAATCGTTCGCAAATCAATATTCACTTTGGCAGATTATTTAAATAACTTGCTGTAGTTGTTTAGGTGCAGAAATCTTGGCGTACGACGTGTTTGTCAATTAAAGCTATCATTACAGTCAAATTGCGTAATTCGCACCAGAGATGGGCCAGCACTCGGGTTTTTCGGAGTTAGTTTGGGCACAGGTAAAGGGGCACGTCGCAAGAAATAACAAAACTTTTAAAATGAATGAAGTTAAAATATTGCTTGGAGAAGGGATAACTAATGTAACGCCACAAAAGTGGAAAAATTGTGTAGACCACGTTATCAACGATGTCGAAACGAAAATGCGCCAACTCGACCATTTAATTGACGACGTATGTGATACATTTATTATACATGTATCGGATTCCGACGATACCATTACCTCGTCTAACACAGAAGAGATTTAATTTCGAATTAAAAAAAATGTATATGAAACACGTATATATACATTTGTTTCGTAATTTGTGAATCCGCCCAGTGTGCATTATACATATTTAATTTTAAGTCAACATTTGAATTGTAGATTTTATAAGTACATTTGAATTGTAAAATTTATAAGTACATTTGAATTGTCAACTTTTGTAAGTTCATCACATCTATTAAAAATCAAAAAGGGAAATTTTGTGGTTTTTCATTTTAATTCAGTATAGATAATCAAACCCAACTATCATTATTAAAAATGTATATGAATAAAAACGAGTTCAGGTGGTATTGTACATAGTCTACAATAGGGCAATAATTTGAACGTGCGTCTGTAGATACTTTACGAATTGATTTTGATACTCGCGGGCCAAACGTCAAAATAAGAGTAAAGACGGCGATAACGCAATTACTAATCATTAGAATGTTATAAGTCTCACAATTCATACATTTTTTGGAAACTATTATCATCTTTCCAACCTATCGATAAATCTATCGACAATAGCTACATGACTATTTAAAATTTTACGAAAACTGGCAACCCTGCAAATGTCAAATTTTTCCATCTTCAATAAAAACGGACTATAAGTAGTGGAATGTCGATTCCCTTCAAAGGGCAGCGAACTGTTTTAGTTACAGTTTTGTACATTATCTCGGCCCGTTTACACCGACTGCTGGGTATAGGCTTCCTCTTTTGCACGCCAGATCGGTACTGTGCGAATCTCATCCACAGTCTTCCGGCCACCCCGATAATATCGTCCGACCATCTAGAAGGTGGTCTGCCTCGAGAGCGTCTTGCTCCTACCGGGTACCACTCGGTGACCGCCTTGATCCATCAGTCGTCGTCTCCATTTTAGGCTCGCGATCCGCATACCGACGTCTACGACTTTTTTTCGTTGTCGTATCTCCACGTTGGGCATACGGTCGACAAGGAAAATGCCGAAAAATTATACCATGGAATATTTTGCGCATAGACTTAATACAGTGACCTAGGACTTCAATAATATGAGGCCACAGACTGGAATCATAATTTGGGCATCTTCACTACCTACAGAACTGTATTTTTAGAGTCAGTTTAAAATTTCACAATTGTGAAACATCCGAATGTATGATGGATGGCAAGAAAGTCTTTTTCCATTAATCACGTAAATGCCTGAGTAGTAGCAGGGGAGGATAGATATAACGTCACGATGTCAAGGAAAATCATTAAGACACTATTTATTATTTCTCTCAATTCCATAAAAGAGACATTAGAAGCAAAGTTGCCATTTAAAAACTATATTTCACAAAAATATGTTAATTTCTAATAAAGATAAAAATCTACTCAAAAATGATAATTAAGGGTTTTGATGTCTGTAACCACCTGGAATACCAGAGCTCATTATAGACTGGCCTTCTTGGACTATATTACCTATGGCAAATTTAAGAAGACTCAAACTTACCATTTACATACAAGTATCAACCTTATCTGGTTAACGCCTTAAATATACCACAACACTAGTAAATAATGAGCTGCATCCAGCGGTACCTTAAAAGTTCACTACTCGCTTAAGGAAGAAAAAACGTCGAAAATAAAGGAAGTTCAGTGTTAAGTTGTCAAAGACTTAGTATAAGACAGTATGGTAAACTATTCTTACATAGACTGTGTCTATTTAGGCACTAACAAAATGCTAACATAGCTATTCTATGGATAAATAAATTGACACTGGAACCGAGACACAACGCGTTTATATTTATCGTTAAAATCTGTAAGTTGTAAAGTACGTGTGTGTCAAAATAAGTAAGTCATCTGTTATGTAATCACCTACTTATTTTGACAACACTACTCCGAGTCTTTTTGTTTTATTTAATATTTCTAGCGGCAGCTCTTTTATTTCCCAAAGCCCCCAAACGTGTTGCCTGGCAGTGATCACAAACATTTTTTAACATTTAACAGTTTCTAGTTATTCTTTTTTTTATTCGTGCGCCTGGTGGTAAGCGACATGTTAGAACTTGGAAGTTGGAACACGTCAGGAGTGGAAAATAAAGTAGTAGCGACTACTTTGGAAGCGACTGCTAACTGGCAATAAGGTCTGCTGTACCCTTTTGTTTGTCCTTGTATTTTGTTCTTGTGTGGGACAGTTCCCATATGTCGTATAGAACATGACGTCATCGGACAAAATGAGACAATCCCTAGCTTATTCCTTTCAATAGTATCGGTTTTTGTTTTCTGCCCTAAATTGTCCTATAAATATAATTAACTATAATATTTGCGTTTTAGGCAACATTGATGTAACATCAAAAATGTCAAATCTTTGTGTCACACAGAATTCGGAACAATTTTGGGAAAAAATGGATTCTCACTTTGTTTCATGATGGCAATGGGAAGTGGGTTCGGGTGAAATGCTAGTATATTGTTCTATAGAAAGAACTGAAAAAAAATGGTCTCAACGTGTCCGATAACGTCATATGGGTAAAGGTGACCACATAATATGGAGAAACTCAACATTTTTTTTTAATTTTGTATACATTCTATATTGATTTACGTATTTAATTTAGCCCTTTCTTTTAGATTGTTTCTACCAATAATATTTTTATATAAATATTGTACATGATGTGTACAAATGTTTATTTACAAGGAGCACCCCAAGTTTGTTTTTTATGATACCAAGTAAATCGTGCGCCTGGTGGTAAGCGACACACCTGTCTGTTACCCGTGATGTTCAGTATCACAAGAGTTAGTTCACGAAATGTGTTTCATAATTTTTTTACACCCTATATAAATCTAATATACGATTATGACGGCAAACGAATGCATATTTTTATATTATGCTTACTCGAACTGTCTTTAGTCTATTATTGTTCGATTGCATATATCAATTTTATTTCTCCATAGAATTCAAACAGTTACACCGCGCCTAAAATTAATAATCTGAAAAACATAATTTTGAAAATCAAAGTTACTAAAAGTTACTCAAATTCCAAAATTATGTGCTGTGTCTGCGAGATAAATGGTTACTTGGTTAAACTGACTACTCAATTATTGTTGAGTCTTAGGTTAAGCGCACACAATAACTTTTTGTTACCAATCACGTGGTGACAGCTCGAGACATTCATACAATAAGTGCAGACTAATAAACTAAGTCTGCCGATTCCAAATATCGGACCAAAGTAACTTGACCCGGACGACAAACACACCTGTTTTTGTCAAGAGTCAACCCTAAATTGGTCAATTACCTTACGAACTCACCAAGAGAATATACAACCTTAATCGCGTGAATGAAAGTGAGATCAAAAATTAGAGAAAGCACTGGGACAAATAGATACTATTATAACCAAGTACGGCACGCATCTGTATAATCAAGATGTTGGACTGGACAAGTGGAAGTAGTAAGGTTTGTTCCACACGGCCATAAGTTTGGTTCGTCGCGTGCGTACACAAACGGACGACATATATATTGAATTCAAAAATACCTTTCACTAAGATATTCATTATTACTTTTCCATTTTATATACAGGGTGTAATCGTTAAGTGTGCCTAGGCGATTATTCCATGAATATATGAGATGTCAAAAATCTTCAAACTGATACCAAAAGTGCGTTACCTAATGAGTAAAATGACGTCAATAACAGTCAACGGCTGGTGGAGGTCCATTGTTTCTACCCACCACTGGTAAACATTCATATGCACGCAAGATCAATTTTACCAAGTAACCACCTCTATAAAAACCAAAGCGACGTATCGATCAATTTGTGGTTTAGCAGTTGTTGAGCGCGAGGCTGAGGCCGTGCCTCTCGATGTACCTCTTTCTCGCGTCTGCGATCATCTGGGCTTTCTTCTCCTGGAAGCTGAGCTGTCGCTCCTTCGCACTCTTCGGGAATACGCCTGTAGGCACTGGCGTTACGTACCTGCATTTAAGACACAAGTTAGCACGCTATATAGATATCCTGATTTGTGTCCTAAGCGTTGAGCTCAAGACTTATATAGGGTTACCTATCAATAGTCCAAAATGACATTTTCCAGAAGTAACGTTTGCTCGAATTTTCATAACCTCGAAAGTAATTTTGAGAGGAAAATGTTTTTTCTTTTAAACCAAACTTAACCGAACCTAATCATGTCTTTGCGATAAACGTATTCGTTATAATTCAGTTTTCGGTATAATGAAAATTCGAACAACCGTTATTTCGGAAAAAAATTCGAGTTTGTGATAGGTTACCACATAGGGATATTTTTAAAATACTAATAACCTCACAGAACTACATTACTAACATCATAAACAACAACTTTTGTTCTATGACTTTTTTAATTAAATTTGTATTGAATTGACATTCAATTATTTTTTGTGAAATCGCTCCACTAAGATCGAACACTTAGAAAAAATTCCTTCAATCCGGCCGGATTCGAACCGACGTCTTCTACCACACCGTGTCAGACAAATTTAATTACAGATAACAACGATATTTCTAGCCAGGGAGCTGTAAAGTTACCTAACTGGGTGACGAAATACTTTCATAGATTTTTCATGGATGGCGCTACGGCTAAAAAGTCGTTGAAAACCAAATACAAAGATCTGACAACAAGCACATAGAAAAATTCGTGAGGACCGCTGCTTCGTTCCGTGGCTTAGTTCATAGTGTCTGGATTCGAACCAGCTTCTTCAGCATATTTGTTGTTGTTTTTCTTAACAACTTTTTGACCGTAACGCCATCTGTGAGAAATCTATGAAAAGTTTTTCTTTTCTGCCAGGTACCTTTACAGATACCAGCGGCTAACTAGAGATGTCGCTTTAATAATTGTAATATAAAGTTTATGGAATATCACAATATTTTACTACTATGATATTCCATTATTTTTTGTGAAATTATTCTACTAATTATTACTACAAAGATCGAACATTAGGAAAAATTATTTCCTTCCGGCTGGATTCAAACCAGCGTCTTCAGTATACCAGGCTCACACTTTTCCAAGTGAGCTACGGAACGGTTTTCGTCAACAAGCACACTAATTTTTCTGTGTGCTTGTTGCAGATGTTTGTTTTTGGCTTTTAACGATTTTTTGCCGTAACGCCATCTACCAGAAATCTATGAAAGCTTTTCTCTACTTAATTTCATGAGTATCAGCTTCATATTACAATTTCTATTAGTGTTGTTACAAACCTATATGACGGTCCGTACAATGTCTTAACCGGGAAACGAACCATTCATGAGCTTTTATTTCTCGTTTCAATAAGTATGTTAATTTTTGATAAAGTTGTGTCATGAAGGATGAAAGACTCCTACAATACAGATTTTATATAGTGTAGGAAATCAATGGAGGGTGCTCTGACCTGGGCTGCGCCTGCGACGTGCTGGGCGTGGGCGCGTCCGAGGGCTCCGGCGTGAAGGGCGTGACGCCCTCCAGGAAGTTCGTGATGGTCACGTCCACGCTGCGCGTCACGGCTGCAACAGTCAAGGCCACGGCCAACTCATTAACACAGAAGAGAAGATTCAATTTCTAGGCAGAATTACTGAAAATTATTGATCAAAGTTTCTATATTTACAAAAATGCCGTATTACGACTAATTGAGGCCATCCTAAAAATGAGCATGTGTACGACGAGCGTTGATACGTGTTTATAAGGTAAAAGATGTGTGCCAAGATCTTAGCTAGTGGAAACCTGTGGTCTCAGCCTACCCCGATTAGGAAAATGGCGCTTTCCAAAATGTGTGTATGTTGCTGTTTCAAATCAACTGAATAGAAATAAATAAATATAGTCTGTCCTTTTTGAAGACGGAGAAAAATAACATTTGTAGGGTTGCCAGTTTAAATAAAATTTTAAATAGTTAAGTAGTTGTTGCCGATAGTTTTATCGATAATAATAATAATAACGCACACACTTAACATAGCCCCGCATTAGGGAAACCCTGTGTCGCGGGTGCCATGGACACACACATAGACAACCACAAATTACACCCAAACTCACGAGAGAAGTAAATGTAGGTCATACAAATATTTCTCCCGGCCCGGGAATCGAACCTGGGACCTCTGCGTGGCAGTCCGGCATGGTAACCGTTCGCCAACACAGGCAGTTGATCGATAGATCGTGAAAAATAAAATTTTGCCAAAAATGACTGAGTTGTGATGTTACGACGTTCTAATGATTACTAATTACGTTATTGCCTTCTTTATTCTTATTTTGACGGTTGACCCACTAGTATCGAGATCAATTTTATTCATATACTATATCTATATTGAATTAAAAGGAAAAACTTTAAAATATGTCTCCTATTTGTATTTTTCATAAACATAGTTCTAAATACAGTGTATGTATGTATGTATGAACTAATAAAAATTGACAATTCAAGTGAACTTGAGCTCAGTAATTGGATGATTCAAATGAAACAAGTTCGGTTATTTCGACCCCTCCTACGTAAAGTATCGTATGTCGAAATTGCCAAGTTTACAGGGAAGCGTTTTAAAGTTCTCCGTTTTATTCGGCAAAGCTCGTTACTCAAATAGAGTGATCATCTAATACATCCTCTGACCGATATCTAGGATTTTATAATACTCTATGTGAGTAGCGGGCTTTGTCGAATAAAACTGAGAAATGCTAAAGTCACGTGTTGTGCTCATTTCAGTGAATTCAGAATATTTATATATTATAAAGGCTCCTCTGTAAACTTGGCAATTTCGACATACGATACTTTACGTCGGAGGGGTCGATTTATTCCGTAGAGTGACCAATATTCAGTCGATAGCGAATAGAATAATCGGAACGTTGAGAGTATCGTCAAGAGACAAAGTCACGAGGAAGGGGTGCTGCAACGTGTTGGTCGAAAACGAGAAGTGTTGAATAACATCAAAAGAAGGAAACGGAGTATCTGGGTCATATACTGAGAAACCCAAAGTACGACATATGGCAATTAATAATCCAAGCTGCAATGGCCTTCATTAGAAGATGGCACATGAAGAAGAAGAAGTCGATAGAATATTTATCTGCAACATCGAGTATATAACAGAAATAGAGACGAAATGTCATTTGATATGTTTGAAAACTATTCTGCCAAATCATTACGGTGACAACTGCGCTCCGATTGGGCCCGACATTGGGCAAACTGCGGCCCGAATTCGAAACATTTGACGGGTGTCGTCAAATTGTTTCACTTCAAAACTATCGGTTTAACTTGAGCTTTGCTATAAAGGACGAAAATTGCAATATTACATATTTAATTACCGATGAAATTTGATTCCGTTTTGCAATTAGATGTTCTGCTGTTTTTCCCCACACCACGGACGGGAACAGCACGCCATTGTTAGAGATATTTATTACCTTTATTACAATAAATACAGAATACTTTTGGAATATACGGAGACGTACATACAGGTCAGTTGTTGGCGCTGTCTATATTTCAGTGCAAACGAGAGTTGATATGTGATGTATCACTGATGAGTTACCAGAAATGTATGGCTCTTATTTCGTCTCTATTTCTGGTTATATACTCGATGATCTGCAGTCACTAGCTACCCGCAAGCGGACAGCACTATTGAACTGTCATTTTACTCCGTCTTCAAAAAAGACAGAGTATATAAATATTAGCCAACAACACACATACGTTGCTCCGATCCTAAAGAGAGTAATTAAAGCACGTGTGTTATGGAAATCGGAAACAATGACGGTACCACAAACACCCGAGACAATACAGAAAAGCTAGTTTTCTACACTGACCCGGCCGGGGATCGAACCCGGGACTTCAGAGATGTCGACACCATGAAAACCGGTGTACAAACCACTTGACCACGGAGGTGGAATATAACTCCGTATTTAAATACCACTCACACAAATCCCTCATAATGTCCCTCATAGGCACCCTGGGCAGCACCTCCTTGACCTGCCTGGCCAGCCTGACCAGTTCCGCAGGTGGCTCGCGACGGGTAGCCGTTGAACCGCGGTTCAACTCCTCCCACTTGAACTCCGTCATCTCCACCTGAGACAATGGTTACTTATCATAATCACCGTAATCGCTAATGGTAGATTTCACGGTCCTGGAAGAAAAGATAACAGAAACAAGAATAAGGTATATCGTAGATATCGCGTATATGATCAGAAATAGAGACGAAATATCAATTAGTTCGAAAACTATTCTGCTATATCATTGACTTACAAATAAATGGACGACGGGTCTAATACAAAAACCACGAAAAAAATGTCCCAAGTCAACCTATTTAAACGTAGTGACATGTAAAGGAATATGAAAAAGCTAAAACGTTGAATTTAAATTGTGATGTCATCGCAGTACTGTCTAATTTTGCTTGCTTCGCTGTCAGTCGAACAAACGAAGACTAAAGCGTGAATGACGCTCTGCATACGATTTTAACGCCCTATAAGTTCGGACACTTTTTAGCGCGGACCCGACGTCCATATAATTGTAAGTCAATGTGCTATATCATTTCGGTGACAACTGCGCTCCGATTGGCCAGCCCGAATTCGAAACATTTGACGGGTGTCGTCAATTGCAAAATTACATATTTAATATTTAATTACCGATGAAATTTGATTCCGTTAATTTTGTAATTAGATGTTTTGCTGTTTTTCCCCACACCACCGAATGGAACAGCACGCCATTGTTAGAGATAATCTTTATTACAATAAATACAGAATATTTTTGGAATATGTAGACACAGGTCAGTTGTTGGCGCTGCCTATATAAGTAATGTATAACTGAAGAGTTACCATGAATGTGTGGCCCTTATTTCGTCTCTATTTCTGGTTATATACTCGATGATCTTAGACAACATAACATACGTTGCTCTGATCCCAAAGTAAGTAGCTAAAGCACTTGTATTAGGGAAATCGGAAACAACGACGGTACCACAAACACCCAGACCCGAGACAATACAGAAAAGTTAACTTTCTACACTGACCCGGCTGGGAATCGAAAACGGAACCTCAGAGATGGCGACACCATGAAAACCGGTGTGCAAGCCACTCGACCACGGAGGCCGTCAAATATAAACCTTGGTTTTGGATAGTTTCATCAGCCAATAGTTGCAATTCAATATTTTTTACATTCAAATTCATTTATAACTTTGTAATAATACACTTTGATGATTACCTTAGAATATAAAATGACCGTTGTCCTTTATGTAAAATATTACGAAGTAATTAAATAATGATTCTTGAATATGAATTTATTGAGTATCAAAATGTTTTACTATCATGATATTAAATTATTTTTTTCTCAAACTACTTCACTGTTTGTTATTTGTACATTATTGCAGAGGTCGGCAAGTAAGGGATTGCTGGACGAGTATGAGTTATATTAATACGAGTTAAGCAATCCCCGTTCCCGCCGAGGTATGTATAGTGCTTTTCTCAAAGAATGTGAGAACATAATAAAAGACATATAGTCTAGTTTTTATTTAGTTATCGCGTAACATACATACAAAAAAAAGTACAGTCAAGTTGAGAACCTCCTCCTTTTTTTGAAGTCTGTTAAAAAATGGAAGTTACATTGCTTTCCTACTCGGCGAACCTCCGGAAAAGTCAAATAATTGGGTTCGTGAAGTAGCAAAATAATTAACTCCCATTTTTAAAAGTTCACTTCCACTTTTATTAAAAGGGTTCGCGGAATAGCAATATAATTTACTTCCATTTTTAAATTTCACTTCCATTTTTATAATTGGGTTCGCGGAATAAACAGTAATTTGCTTTCAATTTTATTAAGCCTTGAACAGTCGAGCATACCTCAAGCGCTTCAGCGAGCGTCTGCCTGAGTCTCGCTGCGAAGACATTGTCGTCGTCATCAAGCCTCTCGAGTGGAGGCAGCAGACGCAGCTGGAACACTGTGACAGGTGTGCACAGGAACCAGAGCGCGTCTGACCAGGGGAATTTGTCACGAGCGTCTGATTGACGGTGCACTGTCACGTTTGTGAAGAGGCGCTCTACGGCTACACAGAAATAATAATCTTCCTTATTAAATGCAAAACTTAAAAATGTACCAATGAACTATGCTAATGGGAAACTCTCGAAGATGACAATAAGTAATATTACAAAGATAAGCTTACTAATAGCAACAGGCTGCACCCTGTTTCCGATCTGGAAGGGCCAGTCCGTGAACTTAAGCAGGCCCTTGCCGTTCGTAGGGCCTCCTTCTGGCTGCAAAAGTACTGGTTTGTTGGGGCAATCAGCAAAATGTTGTCTGGGAAAAAAAACACAGAAAATTACTTCTATACCGTTTACTTTTTTGTCCGTACACGGAAATAGTAGCCCAATGGGACGACTGCTGCTTTTCAGACCCTGTTACTGTCAAATTTACAAGTAGTACTCGATCTAATTACAAAACGCACGATGCGAATGAAGTTTCATATTTCGACGAACTTCATACTCCTACGTAAAGTATCGTATGTGGAAATTACCAAGTTTACAGGGTAGCGTTTTAAAGTTCTGAATTCATCAAATTTAATATTTAATTCGATCAGGTACCTATTACTTATTTAACAGTAATGTTTCTTACAGATGTCGGAAACAGTACGAGATTAGACCCCCAGTTACGGGACATCACATTTATTAATGCAGAATCGCATTAAGCCGGTCAAAAAAGCTTTATGTCCATGAACGTAAGAGCGAAAAAGACGTTGCGCGTTTGCCATCGGCTCGTATGAACGCGTCTCGCCACACGCCGGCAACGAATCTGCTTTCTGCGAATCTCCAATCGCGTCCTTACGCATGCCGATAACGATTGATCCTGGGGGTCTACTCTCGTTCTCAGATACCCCATCCGAGTCTCAAAATCAGATGGGTTTCCGAGCGAGAAGATGAACCCGATTCCTACTATATCTTTCTAATTTGTGAGTTAAATCAAGTATTGTTTCGATTTGAAATGCCAAAAGTTTCCGATGGCCAGTTGTGAATCGCAATCATGCGCCTCGACTCGGAAGAGACGCAGTTTACGATCGGTAGAGGCAATCAAAATCAAGCTGCTGGTTTAGAAAAAACTAGCGCGACTGCATGCGAACGACTACGTTAACAGCGAAAATAAGTTTGGTGACCTAAGAGGTTCACGATTCGAACCCTTATTATAACTTTGAGTTGAAGTAGTCGTCGCCAGTATGTCTGTTGTTAAAGCTGTCATCTACTGCCGTGGTAAGCCACGGTATGATTTAGCAGAAGAGCTCCTTGTGAAAGAGTTCGTCCAGGGAAGTACTGCCTTATCTATTTCTGCTGCCAAACAGTAATGCGATGCATTACTGTGTTTCGGTTATGAAAGGTAAGGGTGCTGGTGAAATTATAGGCACATGGGACTTGTCAACTTATGTCTCAGGGTGCACTGCAACCGCCATGGACAGGCGTGTCGCTTACCACCAGGCGTGTCGCTTACCACCAGGCGTGTCGCTTACCACCAGGCGCACGACTTGTTCGTTCCGTATATAATATTAAATAAATGTACTAGAAGTAAACTTTCGAAAACACTTACTTCCTTACAAATTGCGCAGCATTCCGAATGCCCAAAGTGGACGCAAAAAATGGCGGCACTTTCCATTTTCTGAGCTGTAAGCAAAAACCAGAATAAATATCTTACCACTAACCTGGTAACTTTGTGGATGACTAAGTAGAAGATCCGCGAGGATCCTTAACCGTAACTGTTGCAGGACTCTCTGATAAGCAACACATATTTTATCAGGAATAATCACATCACTTACAAGGCTGCTAACAGATTTTTTTTTCATTTGTTTAAGGAAATCAATAGCCTAATATAAGTAAAATGTGCTCATTGCTAGTCAGTGTTAAGGCCAATTACATATTATCTGGATTACACACTTATATGTACAGACACTTATATGTCAGACGTAACAAACAGACTTAACACTTGGCGAGTCATAAATTGTACTAACCTACCATAAGATCTACAATAAACACGACTCGTCCACAAAACAAAAATAAAACTTAATATTGTTACGCGATACAATCACAACAATCTCCTTTTGAGCCTTTACGCCGTCGTAATATTATGCGCAAAAGAATTCACGTCACTGTACAGCCCATGTCGGATCGGTTGGACCATAAATATGTAAGAATCATTATCGTAAACAAGCCGGCTTGTCTCCCCACGGTTTTAGGCTCACTCATCTACGGCCCACGTCTCTGGAGATGTCATCTACCCATCTTATTGCACCCACCCACCATTCGGATGTAGATTTACTCCACATGCCATCACCACTCCTCGCCGTAATATGTGATATGTCTTGAAACTTGTTTAGGCTTATGTTTCGGAATCCGAAACTGTCTATAATAGCTTAGCGCAATAGTACAGTCTAGTGTCGCTGCATTAAAACAGGTAAAAGTTTACAGGAAACAAAAACTTACACTAATGGTTCCGAGAACGTGTGACGCCGCCAAAGAGTCCAGACAGGACACGTAATTTGCTACCATCACACTACAGCGCGGGTCTCTAGTACCTTTCGTCTTCACATACACACCTGAAGTAAAATTTTCTATTAACATTTTAGTATTTTCACACTATACTTTATTTAAGAAAGAAATCAAACAGAAAATAATAAAAAATACGCCTCTATAACAATAATAATCAATAATAAAAGTTCTCCAAAGTTCCTCTTAAAGTTGCCACCACCCAGTCACCCCTTTTCGTTAATAAATAATAAATAAATTAATTAAAATTAGGTGACATTATTTATCAGCATGATGTTTCTACATATAGTCCATAAAATAAATCATTCAATCATACTAGATTTCATTATCCAAGCAAATTTAGTTCAATTCTTTGTTTGCTTTACTAAATTATCTGCTTTTTCAACACTTACTCAACAATTTTGTGAATGTAAGATGTTTAAAACTGACTTAACAGAGAACTGTAACAGTAAACCTCCTTGTGAAAGTACGTCCAGTGAAGTACTGCCACCTTGTCCATTTCTGTGAATATTACTGCGTTCCGGTTTAAAAGGGTAAGGGTGCTGGTGAAATTACAAGCACGAGACTTGTTAACTTATGTCTCAGGGTGTCGGGCGCAGTGGCAGTATCCCTCAGATGTTTGCGATTTAAAGCTCAGAGTGGCACTGCAACTGGTATGGACAGGCGTGTCGCTTAACACCAAACACACGACTTGTTCGTCCTGTCTCTTGATATTATAAAAAAAAATCCGATAAGGTCACCAAGCTCTCTTACAAACTTCAAATCATGATGTTGTGGAAAATATTAAGAATATTCGAAACTCGTGAATTATGAACGATCTGACACGTCGATCATACAAAAAAAAATCTAGCGCCCAGACCATTCTCGATCCGGCTGGATTCGAACCAATGTGTTCCAGGAAACCGTGCCAAAAGCTATGCCAACTAAGCCACGGAACGAACTAGCGGACCTTAAGATTTTTTATGTAAGGACATAAAAAAAAAATGTTGCAGATCTTGGTTTTTCTGTGAGAAATCTATTTCTTGGAATCCAGCCGGATCGAAGAAATTTTTCTTAATGTTCGACCTTTGTATTAAAGAAAGATATTTATTCCTTAGAGTTATGCTCTCCGAAACAGAAGTCCGCTGTAATCGTAATTGTAGCTAAATCCAGGGTTGGAAAAAATCATGATTTTTGAAAAAATCGAATAAAGCACGATTTTTTTTAAAAAATCCTCTTTAATCACGATTTTTTATTTTTTTATTTTAACTATATTTTTGCGTCAAACGTAGTAATGTAAAAGGTAATTAAAGGTAAAAAAAAATAAGGTAAAAAAGTAATTAATCATGTGGTAGATAAAAATAAATTTAAAAAAATGTGACACCACTAGAGTGGTGGATGTCACTGAAAAATATATCTAGTGAAGAGGAACAGTCAAAAATTTTTCCAATGGTTAAGCAATTGTTTGGAGCGATAGATTCTTCAGCTGCTGTGAAAAGAGTGTTTTGCACCTTTGGAATTGTTCATAGTAAATTAAGAAACCAACTGGGAATTGAAAAGGCTGCCAAGCTAGTTTTTTTGTTTAAGTATTATGATAATGATATTGATTTCTCACATCCTAGTCTTTAAAATATAATTGTCTGATTTGATTTAAATCATGATTTAAATCAAAATGATTTAATCGTGCCAACCTTGGCTAAATCATATCAAGAACCGAACACATCAGTTACAGAATTAAAATATCATGTGGGTCAACAAACAGGCATTCAAAACTAGTTTTGAAATTGGTAATCCGTGTAAACAAGAACTGAGCAAACGATATTGCGGCCTACATATTGCTAAGGCCACTCACGCATAGCGGCGCACGGCCAATCTGCACAAGATAACTGGGCTTCGCCGTAGGTTCTACGGCGACACAAGCAGACTCCCTTAGCCTTGATATTGACGAATATGTACGGAAAGTTTTACTTGAAGAAATTTGCAGGGTATTCTAGAAATGAAAAATTGGAATAAATCTAAAAAAATTTAGAGAAAAACATGTTTGTTATTTTGTAAAAATAATCAATTGTTCATGTAAGCAATTTCTCGGCAATGTGAGAAAAGAATTCTTCCAATATTCAACATATTACATTTTCACATTTTCATCTCAATATATCACTCACATTTGTTAGTGCTATTAAAGAGGCATGTCAAAGAAACATTAGGATAAGACAAGAGATATTTTGCAAAGTATCAAAAAAATGTAGGTCGAAAGATTTTAGTGATTAATTACTAAACAATCATCAATTTTTTGATGGCATTTAATAAAAAAAAATATTTCCATTAACTTGTAACCATGGAACGTTTAACTACGATCAAAATTGGGGAGAAAAGTAAAAAGTCTTGCCATAATAAAAAACCTATACCCAGAGATATATAGATTTATTATAGCAGCAGTCGAGCTCCTTGTGTAAGAGTGCCTACAATGTAACAAAAAAAGCAGCTTTAGTTTGATTGTTCACTATATATAGTTTAATTTTTACTATTTACATATACATACACTTGTAAACAATAATTTCAAAATTAGAATAAACGCGATCAAACAATTTAATACATATTTGCACATCTATATATAGTCATACATTTTAGTAGCAATAGTTAGTTCATTGCGAAAGAGTTTGTCCAGAGAAGTACTGCCACCTTACCTATTACTGCCGCCAAGCAGTAATGTGAGCATTACTGCATTTCAGTTTTAGAAGGTGCTGGTGAAATTACAGGGACATGGGACTTGTCAACTTATGTCTCAGGGTGATGAGTGCAGTAGCAGTGACCCTCACATCTTACTTAAATCTCCGAGTGGTGGTATGGACAGGCGTGTCGCTTACCATTAGGTGTATGACTTGTTCATACCGTCATTTAGTATCACAAACAAAAAGATAATTGAAATGCCAAATCGACAATTAATTTTATATCTATTATTAAAGCTATCTAAGACCGGTGTCAAATCAACCCGTGTTCACCATTTATATCTAGAGAATAATTAAAATTGAAATTAAAATTAGTCAAAAAGTAGGTTGCTGAGTACTTTGATTTTGTTACTTTGAAACAATTGTTATTCTGTACTGGATCTTAATTGCTGTACTAAATACAATTTAACAGATTCTTTCCTTGACCTCTTCTACCTCATTTTAAAACAATCTGAATTAGTAATGTGATTAAATTATAAATATTGATATCACTCTTTGAATTTGATACCGTAATTGTGTACTTTACGACTGAAATAGTTTCTATACATATTTAATGGGTTATGGTCTAATTAACACCCATTATACTTAATAACAGACAGACTCTCTGCCCAGAGTGTACAGTCAATGCCCTATGATACCTGACCCTCTAACCGACCATTTAGTTCTGGGTAGATAAGTGTGAAGATAAGTGCTAAACAAATTCGACCTTTAACCTGTGAGATACAAAATTCTTTTTCATATGACTTCCTTATTATTTCATTAACGAATAATGTTTCAAGAAATGTTTTAAGACAATTTGATCTTTGTAAGTCAATGTCTTTAACATATACTTACTTAAATACAGAAAACAAATTTCAACCATAACTGCGTAAAATGGCTCTCAGAAGCAAAAGGTCGGTTATTTGCTAACTGCCTCCGTGGTCGAACGTTTACCATGCCAGACTGCCACGCAGAGGTCCCAGGTTCGATTCCCGGGCTGGGAGAGATATTTGTATGGCCTACAATTATTTGTCTCGTGAGTTTGGGTGTAATTTGTGGTTGTCTATGTGTGTGTCCATGGCACCCGCGACACAGGGTTTCCCTAGTGCGGGGCTATGTTGAGTGTGTGCGTTATTTATTTATTTTAGGGGGGTCAGGTATCTTAGGGCATCAACTGTACATGGAAAAAACAATGTTCTGGGGGTCCCGTTTTCCGTCCGACATCCGTCCGAAACAATTGTCAAAAGACATGTCAAATATGAAGCTTCAGTGGCATCATGCATCTTTCAATTTGGTTGAGTATTACTTATTTGGCAGTAATTGTTTCAGACGGATGTCGGACTGAATACGGGAGTAATCCCTCGTGGCTAACTTACAGGCTGAAAAACTTCTAAGTAATAGTCTTTTCTCATAGACGGCGCTACAGCTAAAAAGATATTGAAAAACCAAATACAAGACACAACAATAAGCGCAATGAAAAATTTGTGAGTTCTATTGGTTCGTTCCGTGGCTTAGTTTGCATAGCGTCTAGCACGGTATGCTTATTAATTAGCGAAATATTGTTTAAACAATGTCATGATTACAATATTTTTGAAATATCTAATATTTCTATATATTTAAAAATGTGTGAGCATATACATTTCATTGCATGTGACTGGACAATATATTAGAGGCAAACGGTTGCCCTAACAATTTTGATATTGTATCGTAAAGCGAATTGGCCCACCTTTTAAACAAAATTATAAAAAAAAAAAGAAATCAACACAAGAATGTAATCTGGTTCCATATCAACTGTGCAACAACAGGCGTATGTAAGTTTCCCTACAAATTTACAATTACGTAATTTGTATGTTTATATCTTAATAATCATTGTTAGTTTTTTTATAACATTATATTTACTTTTTATGTAAATGCTTAGGTAAAATAAATACACACGTAATTAAGCGTTTAAATATTTTCCATTGTTATTCACTTGCGTGGAACGAAGTACATTCAAATTTTGGCCTACTTTAACCTGTCAATACACTTCCTCTATTTTTAGGTGAATATTGCTCTTACCAAAGGTCCAACATGCCAAAGTCGATAACATCTGCCGAACAGCTGATTTATTGGGCAGTATGATAGACGCGATCCACAGAAAAAGAGCCAGGAACACTCTCGCCACAAGCAGCAATAGAGCGAAGGGTAAAAACGCAACAAACTGGAATACATTGTCGCCACAAAACCTTAAACAAGTTATACAATATGGTCAACGTATCAAATTCATAAATCGGTACCTAAATATCTTAGTCCTCACTTCATTATAGAAAACAACATTAATGTTACATCGCCAACTTTCCCTTGAAAAATCACAAACACGTAAGTGGAAAATTATCGCCAAAAATGTACCTGTCGTCGTTTATCAATTTGTCCACAGTAAGAGCCATTGTTGCTCTCGTAATTAAACAACCAATAAATATACCCTTTTTGCTAAATAAATCGTGTAAAATAATCAAAATTTCGAATTTTCTCTACAAAATCGTGATGTGTGAAACAATACAGACCATAGACAAACACATTTTTTTTATAGACGTCAAATAGAGGTTACACGGCACCTTTTTCGATAATACCGGTTTTCGTTCGGTAGCAGGAGAGCCGTACAAACAAGTGAAATCCCATAGTCATTCATTCTATCATTAAAAATATCACGGCGTGACATGAGATGACATTGAACGTAAACCTTTATCCCCTCCTAATAAAATGTTGTTTAATTAAGTGGGTGTTTACTATAGGACAAGGGAATTATACAAGTTCGGAAAATATGCACAAAGGAAGGCGTAATTGTTTTATTGAAATAAATTAGTTATCATCTTCGAAGTTTAAGTGCTATTAGTGAAAAGACTAAATGGATAGTGCTACAATTATAATTTCGAGTTAAATCTGCGTATCACCTTACGGATTTCACTTTTCATCGAAATTGGCTATAGAAACTTTCGCGATGGAGGGAATTACTTCATCGCCTGAAGATAACACGTACTCCGAGGAGGAAGAGGAACTGAAAAGACGCAGACCCAATCAGGAAAACAATGCAAATCCTCAAGGGTATTCGAACCAAGCGAATTCTTTTTCTGAACTCAATCAACTGGAAGAGAAAATGCGCCGTAAACTGCAATTTTTCTTTATGAATCCGATCGAAAAATGGAAAGCTAAGCGGAAATTTCCATACAAATTTGTTGTGCAAGTAATTAAGATCATTCTGGTTACTTTTCAATTATGTCTCTTTGCCCACAACAGATATAATCATGTTAATTACACTTGGGACAACAGAATTAGTTTCTCCCACTTGTTTCTACTTGGCTGGGATTCTACTAGGGAAATTGACGCCTACCCACCAGGTGCAGGACCTCTAGCAATATACAAAATAGATGACTTCTATAGTACTTTGGATTTTGCCTGTGCAGGATATAGTAATCTCTCAAATGCAATTGGCCCGTACTCATACAATGATGAAAACAATATTCCACCAGACCCAGTTTTCTGTCAGTACAATTATAAACAGGGAATCATCAATGGTTTCAATGAAAGCTACGAATTCAACTCTGAAATTGTGGAAACATGTATTAATTTCACATTGAAAAGAAACAACCAGTTCCAGTCTCGACAATTTTTAAAAGATTCAAGTTTAGATGTCAATTTTGCATCCTTAGTAAGAGCTAAACTTATGTTTTCAATAAAAACTATTAACTTTAGAGCTGCGGGCCCTATCACACCTCCTGATTGCTACAAATTTGATGTGGAAGTTATATTTGACAATGAAGACCATGATGGTCAGATGTCTTTGTCGTTACAAGCGGAACCAACCAAATTGACTTGTAAAGGAGATCAAAGTTATATTACTGACAACAAAATTGACCAAATATTGAGAAGCATAATGAATATTCTTGTAATTTTGATTTGTTCAGTATCTTTTGTGCTATGCAGTAGAGCTATTTACAGAGCACAACTTTTGAAAGAACTGACTGTACATTTTTTCCAAAGGGCTTATAATAAACATCTAAGTTTAGAAGGTCGATTGGAATTCTTAAATATTTGGTACATTATGATCATAATCAATGACATTCTTATCATCATGGGATCTGCTATAAAAGAGCAAATTGAGCGCAATCAATTTATAAATGATCAATGGAATATCTGTTCATTATTTCTTGGATTGGGCAATCTTTTAGTCTGGTTTGGAGTGCTAAGATACCTAGGTTTCTTTAAAACTTATAATGTAGTTATTCTTACATTAAAGAAGGCAGCTCCTAAAATATTTAGATTCTGTGTATGTGCACTGCTAATATATGCAGGATTTATGTTTTGTGGATGGCTTATACTAGGGCCATACCATATGAAATTTCGATCTCTTGCCACAACGTCCGAATGTTTGTTTTCATTAATTAATGGAGATGATATGTTTGCCACATTTTCGATAATGCCTAAAAAGTCACCGATGCTGTGGTGGTTCAGTCGAGTATATCTTTATTCATTTATTAGTTTATACATTTATGTTGTACTTAGCCTGTTTATTTCTGTGATCATGGATGCTTATGACACTATCAAGCAATATTATAAAGATGGGTTTCCAAAGAGCGATTTGCAGCAATTCATTGGTGAGGCAAGTGTAGATGAAGTCTCATCTGGATTGTACAGGACCCAGAGCTCGACATCTCTTAATGCAATAATGAATTCTCTTTTCTGTTGTAACTTCTATCGTAGTGCGTATTCTAAAATTGGAGGTCGTAGCTCACAGCAAAACCTACTATAACACTTTATTGATGTTTAATAATTTTAAAGTTATAGTAGTTGTAAATATTTTTAGATCATTTGTTGTATCTAATAAGTACATACTTGGTTATCATTAATTAGGAGTGTATCAATTTATCTGTAAATGTCGTAAAACATTCGTACTTCTAGAATCTATTAGTCTAAATTTGTAACTTTCCATGATCCAAAGATTAAAATTGCTCAGTCGTCGTTTACTTGCTTCTATATCAATTCGATAAAGACATTACTACCTTGTCTATTTTCCTCAAGGATAATATTAATTTACCTACACAATGTTGCGTATTATTGTGATTAAGACGAGTTTACTAAATAGATTTTATTTTCCTCAAGGATAATGTCGATTTACCTACACAATTTTACGTAATATACAACCCTAAAGTTTAATATATTTCACACTAAACGTGTTGTTTTATATTTGTTTTACGTACTTGAATTAAGTACACACTGTACTGTAACTGAGACGTTGATTCGTCATTAATCATATGATATCTAACACGAGGTCATCTGTTTTACAACAATATTTACTTACAGAGAAAACTTGCTTTTCATGATAAGTAATTAACTTACAAAGCAAAAGAAGCTTTATTTCTTTATTACAAAGCCAAAGTCAAAGTCGATGGTACAAGAGATTCCATAACGTTTTGGCATGATTTCAACTTCATTGATTTTATTGAACAATGCTCACTGAGGCTCACTGTATAATAAGTTTTGGAAAGTATTTATTTTTGTTTATATTCTATACTTTCATAACTTTCTATGAAGCTGTATTATACACTTGAAGGTACATTAAGTGGGTGTTAGTGAAACCCACCATGTTACCATAAGTAGCGTATATACTTATTCTATATTTTTTTAAATTATTAAGTAGTACTTATGAACCGTATCTACAATAATCTGCAAGTATCTATTGTTCTATTTTGTTTACTACGTAGTTCGGTTTTGCTGTACATCTACCCATGTAGATAATTTGCCATATATTATACCTACGTAATTTAATCTCTGCATGTGCATGTAACTATGGTACTTAATTACAAATACTTTAATAGTAGAAATATTCAATACATAGGGCTCTTTGAATATGATTTTAATATATATAAATGTCTAATAAAATTGTTTTAATATCATAATCAATCTTAATCTGTAACCACTGATCAAACATCTCATCTTCATCTTGATAGATTGTTCTACAACCCGTTTACAAATTTGAAGTGTTTATGTTGTACCTGCACATATATTGAATGTTAGAAAATGAACAAATATAAAATGAAATAAAAATATGTCACATATCAATACATTTATTTTCCTTATTATCTATTTAAAACGAACGCAACTAACAACATTTATTTACAACCAAAAATGCTTGCGACCTGTTATTAAACACTATTTTTACATTAAAACAGAAATAAAAAATATATAATTAAAATGGACATAATTTACATAATGGCCTGAAATTATGGCAATATAAGGCATGGAAAAGTATTTCAAAATGAATAATCTAAATTCATTACGTATTTATATGGTAAATCTCATTATCAATACATTTTCTTGATATTTGAATTACTGTCAATATCATATAATTCACATGAAACATTTTTTTTGTATATTTTAATTCTTGCTTTCACACACATTTAAAATAATGTAAATACTTACCTAAATGTAAGTTTAATTTTGGTACACATTTAATATTGTATCCACTACAAGCTAATATATTGTTAAAACCGTTGTAAACATCATTACTACAAAATATTACAATACAACAACTTAAAAAAACTACAATGATTTCCAAAACATTTTATGGAAACTTTAGAAATGGTTCTACGTGTTATTTCGGTACGGTGCTTTCGATTTCTAAACGATCTTATTATATAGATACCTAGCCATAAAATATGCCAGCGTCATAATGTGGTGTTCATTCATCTATAAATGACATAAATGCAATGTAACATACGCAGTTATCATGATTTATTGTTAAATTACCGTTATGTCGAGAACTTAAAATATCGTCGATTTAAAGCTGTCTGGCAAAAAACTGATATTTAAGTAATACAAGAAAAAACATTACTTGCAGTAAATAAATATTCGTATAAATACAAATTCACGCTGCATAGTCTTAACATTACTGATATATGAAAATCCAGAATGGTTCTTTGGTTCTAGGAAATAATAAATATTGCGTACAAAGCAAGAAAACAGCAAAGAAACTATTGGCGGTACTCATCAATATTGGTACAAAAATACTACATATATAAACAGTCAGTCTGTTTCGATTTCATTGAATTATTTCTTTTCCATATCATCCCTTCTTAGTGGCTGTTGCTCTGCTCCCAGCATCACTTGAATCTCATCTACACTCTTTCCTTTCGTTTCTGGCACAATTAAGAAGATGAACACGAATCCAAGTAGCATGATTCCGGCAAATATCCAGAACACTTGGCCTGATCCAATAGCATCATTTAGAGAATTGAAAGTGCTAGTCACAGTGAAACTTAGTAGCCAGTTAAGGGTACCTGCAGTTGAAGCCACAAACGCCTTGATGTCAATTAGACAGAGCTCACCAGCCATCATCCAAGGAATAGGACCGAAACCAAACGAGAAGGCAATAATGAACAGGGAAAGAGACAAGAGAGGAAGCCATGAAATTGGTTCCAGAATTTCAGAATCTATACCATGTTTATCTCGCAAGAAGAAGAAGACGCCCAAAGCGGTAGTACATAAACACATGACCAAGGCTGAGAATAGAAGGAGAATGCGTCTGCCCAATTTATCAACAATCATACTCGAAATGAAAGTTGCAATGACTTGGATGACACCAATGACAATAGTTGCAATTTCAGATGGTATCGTTGCACCAGCACTTTCGAATATTGCAGTCGTATTGAACAATACCGCGTTTATACCAGATAACTGTTGTAAAACCATAAGAGCATAGCAAATTAGAATCGCCTTCATGGCAGTTTTTTTGGTAATACTCTTAACGAACGACACTTGGTTCAGTTGACTTTGTTCTGCTTTGTATTTTAAGCTGTTTAATTCGGTGTCCACATCGTAAGCTTCGCCTCGCAGCCTGACCAAAGATTGTCTGGCTTCCTCATTTCTTCCTTTTATAATCAAAAAGCTTGGGCTTTCAGGCATAAAGAAAAAAATTACTCCAAAAATAATTGGTATGCACGTGCAAAGAAGATTGAACGTTAGCACGGAAGTGTAACTACCCACGACATATGAAAATAGAATACCAATGGTGATCATTAATTGGAAATAAGTTCCAAGTTTGCCTCGGATGGAGTCTTGTGCGATTTCACTAGTATAAGCGGGAGCTGTGACGCAAAAGGCTCCTCCTGCCACACCAATGATAAATCTTCCTGCCATTAGCATGGCGACGTTTGTTGCGAAGGCTATAAGCAACCAGCCTAACGTGAAAGGTAACACTAGGAACAACATGGTCTTCTTTCTTCCTATAGAATCCATAATGAGGCCAATTGGAAAGCAGATGGCGGCAGCTCCAAGGTTGATGAGGGACCCGATCCAGTCCCCCTGGCCTTGGGTAATGGGGAAGTCGTAATCAGTGTTGTTTTCTTTAACTATCTCGACGAGGACTGGCGCAGACCAACCCAACATAGAACCGGCTGCTAGAGCTCCCACAGTTGCTGAAATAAAAAGTTAACATTTAGAAGAAAATTTACAAGCTTGATTAAACACTACAAAATGGTATTAACAGTATTAATGTTTTATTATTTTATAAATAACCAACTAATTCAGTATACTGCCCCTACTTCCTAGTTCTAGTAAGCAGGCAAGGCAACAATTAAAAATCCAAAATCACATTTACACTATTAATTAATTGCAATTATTTTATTTGTATAAAATATCATCATGTTTTTAATGTGGTTAATATTCTCAACAAAATATTCAAAACTCACCTGACAAGGCTGCTAGATACTGGGGCAACCTGCGGGCATTGTCACCACTCGGGCCCACCAGCTCTGCCTGTGACACTCCGATGTCACCCATGGCTCCGTTTGTTCCTTCTGAGCGCTGGAAAGAAAGAAAACAATGGTTTAAGAAATTAATCTTTCTGATTGTAGTAAATAATGCTGTTAATATTTTCTTAAGAAATTGTTTGTACCTATAATTTTTTATGTATTTATCAAAAGTAATTAAATTAGGGGATTTTAGAGGGTAATAATATCCCATACTGATATCCTCTTGTCTTCCTTCAACCTGCAATGCTAAGATGCCAAGTCTTTTTGTGTTGACTCTGCTAATAATTACCTCTTAGGAGCGAAGGAAAGTCATTGTGATAAAATTTTTGCATATCAGAGTTCTGAAAGCTCTTTAACAATGTGTTAAATCTCCAATCCACCAGTCCAGTCCATTCTCTTTCTACATAAGTTTTGTTTATAGTGACCCTCTCTATCCACCTCTTAGTTATACAAGAAGGGCACTATAATCTGTGCAAGCAAGCCAGCATCAGCCCGTTTGTACAGACTTCCTCCGGTTCTCTGAAAGCTAGTGCCTTGGGTGAGCTGCCCCGGGTGTAAGTATAGCACTCCCGATTATTCCAGATAAGTACTGGATCTGTAGGCACTCTCACTTCCCGTTGCGCATTGCGCCGCTATCGGTTGCCACCGTCAAGCCGTCATTTATTTTATTTATTTATTCAGGAATGACAAACAATTGTACATGGTGAGTTATACAGAATAAGAATATCGGTTTAGCTAATAGTACAATACTAAAAAAATACAAATTTTTAAATTGAAGCATAATCACTAGTGTAATTTTTTAAAAGTACAATGCCGACAAAGAAAATAAGTTTAAGAAACAAACAAACTTAATAACGTTACTAAGTACAATTTTAAAAAAAACAGTTTCACAATCCACTACAGTGTCATACCCAATCAAAAATCAGTCATCTCTAAAGTCTACTACCAAAAAAAATCTCTTTGGTGGCGGAGCTGTCGCCACGCTCACCTTCCGACGCCGAAGCGTCTCATTGGATCAGTGGTGATGATGGTAATGATTATGTTGTTTATTCATCAGTAATTTTTTTTATGATACAAAGTGCCGTGACAAACAAGTCGCATGACTTGTTGTCACGTAAGTAAGTGTAAACGACACGCCTTTTCATAGCAGTTGCAGCGCCACTCAGAGCTTTAAATCGCAAAGACTTGACCCCTCAAGCCCCCACTGCACTGCTGCAAGTCTCAAGAGTCTGTAATCTCGCCAGCAAAATACTACAATTTTATCGCTACTAAAGCATAGTCAGTTTAAATTCATATTGTAAAGAGTTCCGAAAACTCATTATATCCTAACAATAGAAAAATACTGCGTTATGTGAATAAATTAAAAATTGCGTTGAATTTGTACCTCATACTGAATACTGGGGTTAGGAATCGCAGGTAATAACGGCTCCCTTTCTACACTGTCGGATCTACCACGACGAAAAATTGAAGATTTCATTTTGTACGGATTTATTAATTAGTAAATAAAATATCACGTATAATAATACTGATTGGAATGTTTTGCAATACGTGACTTCTACGCAACTCAGCTGACTTGGACGTCAGCATACGTCACTTTTGACAGTTGTAGAGTTGCACGTAAATCCGGTTTTTTATGTTGATGATTATCTCGTGCCTCCAGTGAAAAAGGCAATAACTCAAAATCGACACTTTTCAGGAGAGGCAAAAAATACATTATTTTATTGATTATTGGTTGATCACATATATTATTAGTACTTTTTATGATTTCTAGCTTTAGGCATTCAGTCATATTTTCTATATATTTTTTAAGTATTTTTCGAGTTGCGTCCTTGCGTCCGTTGAATACTTAACGGTAATAACATGACTTATATTAACAAACTTGAAGACATAATTAGACTTATTCCCTTAACTGCGACTGTCCTATAGCTATATATAATAATACTTACGATACTAACCATATTAATAAAAGACATAAAGTCGTTAAAGGAATAAAACGACAAGTTTTATGTTGCGAACTATTAACCAATAACAACACCGTATGTTTTATGTATGTGTACTGTCCAATGGAACAAATATCTCAGTGGAACAAACACTGTGGAATAAGGCAATAGTCGCTTTTAGTCCTATTTTATTTTTCTAGTCATTATGGAACAATACGAAAAGTACCTTTATGTAAAAATATATCTGTACTTAGTCGTTAAACTTGGATGTATTTTTTGAGTTGAGATTACTTTTACCACGTAGGGTGTACGAGACGATCCTTGGAGGTAAGAGGATTGTTTTCAATTGTAGCGAAACTAGTAACGTCATCTAAATATTTTCTTCAGTAAAATGTAGGCCTCAATGTGCCCTCTTATCAGTCAATTCGTAATAGCGATGTGAGTGACGAGTTCATTTTTGTGGAAAAGAAAAGCAAAGTTGATTAAAAGATTAGGCTACTTCCATTCTAAGCAATCAATTGCTAAGATTTTTGTGTTAGTGGCTTTGTATAATGCTCTATTTACTTTTTAATGGCGTGGTGACATTAGACAGCATACATGTTATTTTGCCGAACAAAAAATAAAAATAAGTAAATTGGGGCAAGATGATTATGGTTTTTGTGTACGAGATGATACGTGGAGATCATCTTGTACTGTATATATTGTTAACGTACTATTTTTATTGTGTATGTTTTTCTGCGTACTGAAACGTCTTAATTAAATAGATTGCAATACGAATAAAATAGTAGAAGACTGGATTTTGTTTACATGATCGATCTCGATTAATAACAAATATAAATTTTTTTTCTTGTTTTAGACCAGGCCGCGTAACGCGTAATTGTAAAAGAAAAACCATTGGAGGTGGGTGGTCGGAAGACTATGATCTAAAGAACTAGAGGCGTAAAAAGTAGGACGCCAAGTAGATCGGCAAGTAAATAGTTAGCAGTAGGTACGCGTTATGTCATTAAAAAGACGGGCTAAAGGTAAAAATAAAGGTTCTGTCAGTTCAATGAAATATTTAGATGAGAAAAAAACTGTTTTCATCAGATGTGTTAAACAGGAAATCGAGCTCGTAAAGTACATTAAAGAAATGGAGACGAGGATGGATATCAACTTGCCATAAAAAACAATATCGCCCACCCTTAGGATATAAATTAATAAGAATTATTTGTTCGAAAAACGAAAGTTCCGTAACTGTTGTTTCATATCCCTAGATTAAAGTTGTTGTTTTCATTTGTTCCTACCAAAACCTAGAAATTTTCCTAAATAGAGGCAAGATGATCCCCTGGATCATCTTGCCCTTACCCTTAGTAATCCCCTACCTTTAGACTCGTAAAAAATGCCCGATAACTAAAATTATTCCTTTTAAAAACAGTGAGTTATGCCCTTAGTGCAACAAGAAAAACAACGTTAGAAGACTTCTAGAGAGATGTCCTATAGATATGTTATGAAATCGATCGCGCTGAAGCCAATGGTGCAATAAAAACAAAAGGGCATAACTCGTCTTATTCCGTTTTTCGTGGAGGCACTGATCTATAAAACGATTTGGAAATGATCGTATATACCTACAATACTGATAATTTTTTATTATCGCAAGCATGTTGTAGAATTCAAACATCGTATCATATTATTGTCGTTCATGATTTTAATACCCTTGCAGAATTTCCTACCATAAAATCGATAGCAAAAATAATATACAAAACATGTACTTTAGGGATGCGCAACATTATTGTCAGGCGCTAACAATAAACTTGTGTAAAAACACAAAGCACTTGTAATGAAGTGTAGGTACCTACTTACGTACATTCAAAAATGTCTACATAACATAATATACCATTTACTAATGTAAAGTAGAAACTTCCGTTTTATTTCAGTTAATTTGTTTCCATAACTAAGCGATTATAAACACTCATAATGCAACATAATATGTGAATGATGTAAGAAAACAGATGCAAATTGCTAGGTGTGGCTACCACTCGTAGATCGTTACATGAACATAGACCTATATATCTCTTGTAGAGGGTAATATGAGTGAAATGCGAGTTTACCTAATCAACGATTATATAGGTACTATATATTTTTTTTATAATATTAAGTGACGGCACGAACAAGTCGTGCGCCTGGTGTTAAGCGACATGCCTATCCATAACAGTTGCAGTGTCATTCCGAGCTTTAAATCGCAAATATCCTATGGTCACTGCCACTACGCCAATCAATCACCCTGAGACATAAGTTGCCAAGTCCCATGTGCCTGTAATTTGACCAGCACCCTTACCCTTCCAAATCTGTACGCGGTAATGCTCACGTTACTGCTTGGTAGCAGAAATAGGTAAGGTCGCAGTACTTCCCTGGACGAAGTCTTCCACAAGTTGCTTTACTGCTACAAAAAATATAATTAAATTATGTAACTAGCTTAGGTGCCAAGAAATTCTCAGTTATGTTGTTATTTTAAAAAAATTGTAAAAAATAGGAATGAAAGTAAGGTTAATAAAGGTAAATTAAGGCCAGCGGGCAAACCTCTGTCCTTAACACAGTCAAATCATAATTATTCGTAATTATAACATCTGCTAGAACCACCTTAGAATAGACAAATCAATAACTAGATCTAAAGTGTATTTTGTAAATATATTTAATACCACCAGCTGGTGCTTGCGACTTCGTCTGCGTAAAATACTTAAGTAGGTACTTTGAGTAGCCTACTGTATACTATAATAAGTTTCACAGTTTTGCTGGTTCTCCATACAAACCTTTAAGATTTGTTTTTGAGACAAAAAGTAGCCCATGTCCTTCTCCGAGGTTCTTTCTATCTTTATACCAAAATTCATCGTAATTGGTTTAACATTTAGACGTGAAAATGTAACAGACAGTCTTAAAATCATAAGGAAGAACATGACCACAAATAAAGTTACCAGAAAGAGAGTATGTAACAAATTGACTGATGGGACTAAAGTTTATGATCTCATCCGTAACCAGAGTAAGGCTCTTTTTTTAATTGTTACATTTTACAAACTGAAAAGTTAGGGGCTGAATACAGTATAAAAGCTATGAATATATAAAAATCAGCATAATTTTT